TAGTGACCGACGAGGCTTGTGAATGAGTTCCTTTGTATTTGAATTTCATTGCTTTACGAAGCTTCAGACTTTAAATGCTATTTCAGCGCCATTTTCTGGCTGTTATGCTGAGATGTGTGAACTTTCTGATAGTAATTGACAAGTAGCCAAATTGTTCAGTTAAGTAACGTCTGTCCGCGACGTTGAAACGAAGCCAGAGTCTATTATAGACTAACTGCTTCACATTTATCTTATAAGTTCAGGCTGAGAGGAACATTTGATAGACCAGTTTGCTGTAACTTCGCGTGGAGATGTTGTATGTTTTGTTTTAAGGCCAACAACTTTAGAGAGAAGCTCGGGAGACAGCGAAAGGTGTCTTAAATTGAATTCGACGACAAGAAAATCCGGTAAAACCGGTTCTCACGGTCTCTTCGCTTGCGGATTTCTTATATTTTTCTTTCTACCCTGAAGATGGAGGCGATACGTTCCTCCGAAACGTCGGTTAACACCACATATACACGGTGCCAAATCCCAGAAGACTGCTTTCTTAATACCTTTATACTTACAACGTAAGGGAAATTTTAAATTTTTATAATCATTGCACTGAACCTGTACTTAATTTCGAGGGAGAAGCTGACGTTTCGAAAGTTGACGTTGACTGACTGGAAACTGAACTGATTTTTTTATATAGATTACTCCTTAGAAAAAAACAGATATTTATTTTCAGAATTATGTTGATGAGTAAGAATTAAAAGTTTGCTTCCGGAGATTGGGACTAGTTCTATCGACTGGGCCCAACTGAGTAGGTTTCACCTGAAGGAGACAGAATCCAGTGTCCGAAACGTCGTGTTTCGAAAAATAAACAGGACGGTTTTTAGATAAAAACAAGGCGATGGATAATGTCCAGAAACATAATATTTGTACTATGGTGAATGAATATTTTGACATAGATTGTCAAAATTATAGGGATTAAATTAGGTCTTGTAGAAACGTCGATAAACCCCACCGGGCTACACCGTTACACAAACAAGAAGCCACAGTTTTAAACGGGATTGTGTTTAAACATTTGCTGGACACGAAACCAAGTTTTTAATTTGGCAGGTCTGCATGAAATGGATGAACAATGCATGATGTGTGAATGTACTCGTATCTCTTCAGTGACAGTAGAAGTAGTCTGCATATTTTCGTTAACATCAGAATGTAAGTTATCACCTTCGAGTAAATCAGACCGCCACATTCATACGGTCATATTCTCATTAATTTGATACACTTCTGGTCATTAGAACTTTCAAAATTTGTGATAAATACTAGGGCCATTAAGCTGAGGATTCTGAAATTTCATAGGCCTATAACACTGGACCTCTTAAAGTTATAATTTTCTCTGAAAATTCGCAGATCATAGGATGGGAAGCGCAGAAAATAGTCTGATCTGGTGATGAAAATTGTTAAATCATTGTAGGTAACCACGAAAAGAAAAGCGTAGAGGTTACGAATAGGTATACTAAATTTGTATAAATATTCTTTGAGTTACGGAGAGTGAAGGTGATGAAAGGGCGAAGCGTTTTCAAAAAACATTTGATTTATGTTGAAATATGTGACATTGTGTAATTTCATCTGAGTCCTCAACCTGCGATATGAATATACGGACTGGGTTAAACTGGATCAGATTAAGAGACAATGATAGGTCTTTGTAAACGTGGCAATAAAACTTGGGGTTTTCTATAATCAGGAAATGTCTTGACGGTTTATGTAACTGCCAGCTTATCAAGGAAGGTTCTGTGCTAAAAGTTGTTTATGGCGAGCTGCCTAGCGATATGTGTATCTCAAAGGTTCATTATATTTCATTTCAGAATTCATCTAAACAAATAGAGATTTTCCTTATTTGAAATTCCAGAGTTGAATGCTGACTTACCCAGTTCATCACATTGGAATTTTAGGCTATCTGATGCTTGTGGCATTACATCCCTTCCAATATTTGCATACGCCTTTTACGTAAGAAAGCAAGTACTTCCGAGAACCGTGTTTTATCATTCTAATCCCAAGTACACATTAACTTCAGGTGGTGGGTCATCTTAGCTCAGAACCTGGTTATGACCACATTTGCCTACATAAAACTAAAGCAGTCTTTGTGTACCTATCCTCCACTTTCTTAAGATTCTAAAATTGAATATTCTCTTTGCTCTCAATATTTTACTTCTTTTACTCAAGCCTGCTCATAAGTATAGCCTACAACGTGACGACTCCATCTTGGAATCCCACCTTTTTTAGGACGAGCGTAATTACAGTATAAATAAACCTCTCAGTACGAAACTGTCGCTCGTGCTATTAAATTGTGTGACTGACGATTGCTCGAGATGGCGTCGGATACCTTTGAAGTGTGTCATTTGTTTAAAAAATGTTCGCAAACTGCGAATTCTGTTTTTTTTTCTCTCTCTCTCTTTCAAACATACGCGTGTACAAAATTGTCCCTGCCCGTAAGTACAGCCCTCTAGCAGCGTATGTAAGAAAGGCTCCACTCATTTTAAAACCAAACTTTATATTGAGGTTAATGATGAACTTGACACTCAGGACGCTTCACGTCCGGGACAGAAGGCTAGCAGGCTGCTCATCCGGTGTGGACGCGCTGACCTGACAGTGCCGGAAATTTCTTCCTGTGCATTCGGCCCCTACCTTTCACTATTCTGAGTTAACGAGGGTCAAATACTTGCATGGTCAAAATTGTAAGTAAAACTGATGGAAAAATATACGTTTTCATCAAGCAGGAAAATAATGGAGTTTGAAAAAGCACCAGACCCGCTTTGCTTTCAGGCAATGCTTTTAGTGAGGCCAGTACCACGGCCGAGGAGTCGGAATTCGAGTCCCAGTAAGGGCAAGATTTATCTCCTCTTCACTTTCAGACCGGTTCTCGGGCCACCTAGCCTTTTATTCAAAGGCTAACGGGGGCTCTATCCCCGGGAGTAAATCGGCCAATGCGTGAAGCTGACCACTCGTCTGCAGCTAGTCCCGAAGTCAAGAATACATTAAACTATATATCCACTCCCCCATATGTCTTCATGGTGTAGTGCTTAATTAGTTGAGCACAATGACAAATTTACCTTTTTTTTGTTACTAGTGGGGTGAGACTAAGTCCTTTGCACTGCGGCCACTTCTGGCCTATTTTACCAGCCCCAGATGATATGTGAGGGTGATTGTGGAGCAATTGGTGGAATGAAGATTGGCATGGGAAAACCGAAGTACTCGGAGAAAACCTGCTCCAGCGCCACTTTGTCCACCACAAATCCCACTTGACCAGACTCGGGATCGAACCCGGGCCGCCGCGGTGGGAAGCCAGCGACTAACCACTTGAGCTATGGCGTGGCCCCATATTTACCTTACTTTGTACTTTAGTTCCATCAGATTACAAAGTTAGACGGTGCCACTTAACCAGTGCTTAATCTACCTTAACGATGGGGTCAGGTCACAATCCAAGGACCACTGTCTAAAGCATACACAAACCAAAATTTTCGTGATCACATATCAGACCGAAGTCCTGACAAATACCACGAAACCCATTTGTTGTTTGTATTGTGGAGAATGACTGACGCAGACAGGATTCGGAACAGCCATAACCACTGCACCTGAGTTCCTACAAGGGATTTGAACGAGGAATTTGCCAACTACGAGGATACAAGAGCCACAATACAAGTGTCTTGCGCGAGATTTTGGGTTCTCGAATGAAAATTACGGTCTCCTCAGATGTGATGTCATGTTGTCTGGTATATGTTATCGACGTCTCGAAGGAACATACTGCTTCCATCTTCAGAGTACAAAGTAACTTGATTGAATGTTCGAAAAGAAAAAGAATCATGCTGTTTGTGTGCTTTCGTTTATTTTATTATAATCTACCCTTCTACCCTGAAGATGGCGGCAGTTCGCTCCTCCGAAGTGTCTCTTTACTCTTCCACTCTGAAGATGGAGGGAGTACGTTTCTCTGGAACGAAGGTAAGCCACCACCAGACTACACGGTGTCGCGTTCAAAGCATAGACGCCTGCAGGTAGGGCAAAACAGGCATCCTCCACTCTCCCCGGATTTTTGGAGAAAAGTCAAAATTGAAGAAAATAAATTAATATGGCAACTATTGGGTAACGTAAAGTTGTCCCTGTGCGTAATTAATTATGCACTATGCCATGAAGACATGCGGGGTAGTGGAGGTAAAGCTCCACCAGTCTTGACCTCGGCACTACATGAAAGCTGAGTGGTCAGCTTCACGTCCCAGCTTCCTTACTCCGAGGGAAAGAAACCCCGGCACCCATTGGATAGTAGGCTGGGTGGGCCCCAGAGCCGGTGTGGACGCAATGCGGAAGAGACATATTTTGACTCAAATAAACTCCGCGGCCTGTAATCTGCAAACGGACTATACCGACCGAGCAACCGCCGCTTGTCGGCGAAGTTAGTGCCAACTTTTGCGGATAGAGGGTGTCTCGTGGTCAGCGAAACGGATACCCACTCTTGACCCAAATATTAGGTAATAATAAAAATGAAACGTATTTAAAATGTGTCCTGCTCTCCTGTACACTCTAGGATGATCAGTAAAATAGTATTTGCAATTTAAACGTAAGTTTGTATACAAATTTTCTGCTTGACCCCCCCCCCTCCATTGGAAACCTGGCTGCTCCCATCTGGAAAACTGAACCCGACCTGAAGCCGGAAAATGTCCTGGCGCCTATGATTCTTTGAAATGATAATCTTCACAAGGTGTTCTCATAACCGTGTCGAAAGGGCACAAGACCCTATAATTACGCAGACATTATCGCCTTGATCACGTGTTCAGAAGAAAGTTTGGTTCTCCCCGTCTTGCTGCTTACTCCAATTCGTGTTCCAGACTCTGCTAGTCTTGTAGACATTCACGATAGGCCGAATTGTCGAAATCACGAGCCACACCTCTCGTTGTTATTGGTGAATGAGTTTGGAGCACGTGAACACCAACATGTCTAGCTGGCGTTATGCGGAATGGCGCCACATACTCCCCAGGGTTTCAGTGCGGGTTGCAGCATCTGACCCCGCGACAATCCGTAGGAATACACGCGCTCGGAGACAGCCTGATCTGTCAGTCGCTGTAGCTGTACTGTGCGAGTAGGAGGCCATTTGTCAGCGCTGCACGTTGCATGCCGGCAAGCAAAAACGTACGCAGTTATGGTCTGAAAACTTAAGAAATATCATAAAAGTTTATGCCTTTAAATTAAGATCAGTGTATTCATGACAACAATTTAGGAATAACGCGAGGATATGGTTGTCTCCGGTAAGTTTATAATATATCAAACTCGAGTGATATAGTAACGAAAGTGTACTGAAGCGTCTGTGTAAGATTCTGGAGTTTGAGTGTATGTGGGTGTATGAATAAATATTGAAAGCAAAATCTTCAGTGCGAAAGTGTGAGTGAATGAAGATTTTTTTAAGCGTTCAATAATTCTGAGCATAAAATTCTTTTAAACAGTGTCTGAGGATTCAGTTCCAACCTCCAAGAACACACTTCTTCCATATTCAGACGGATAACCGGATGACGTGTTGTTTAGGTAAATAATCGCTGTTTATTGGGAAAACTCATACGGAACACACAAATACACTGCGTGGGCTTAATGAACTTTTTTTTAAACAGGTGGTACATATAATCTTTAAAGAGTTAAGAGGCACGCAGAACACATACTCGCCGTAACTAAACCGAAACAGAGGTAATGTTTCTTATTACATTATGCAGTGAGTACAGGATATGGCCTATTCTATGTCTGCATCTGTTAAACTGGCTTCAAATACTAAATTTATCCATTCAAAATGCAATAGTCCGAGTTATATGCACATAATTTGATTTCCATGTATGATTTAATTGTCATCGATATGTTCATATTTATAAATTAAGCCGGCATGAATCTTGAAGTGAATTTCCGGCATAGTACAGTCATATTCTCATTAAGAGCTGAAGGGTTTCTCTTCGAAACACGTCTAAACCGGCTCTCATAGGCGCATTATCTGGGAGATAACCAAGCGAACCACTCCCATCTGCTGCTTAATGGATCTATATCTGCAGTCCCCGCGATACGTCTACATGTTGTGGTACACAGAAACAACTTTACTGATACAGTATTTTTGAACGCGACAAATCCCCCCCCCCATCACTTTTTTTTTTTAAGTTGTGATGTTTCTCTTACTGTAAGCGAAGTTATCATAATCATTGGCAAAACAGCCCTTTTTGAACCTTAGCCTTCCTTAGAAGACTGCCAGATTTGTCTATTAAATTAGACCATCCCGCTTTCACGACGTTCGTTACAATAGTTGTTTTACACAGCAAGGTCGTCAGCCTTGCATCCAACCCCCAACCTGGAGGACCAGGTCTCTGTATTTATGTCCTCCAATGACAGGGTGGCTCAGTTATACCCCCAGGCACGGGATTCCCTTTTTTTCCGCCTTCTACGATACGTTGGGTCAGGGTGGAGGTATTATACCCCGCCTACACGCGAGGAAGGCGAAGGTATATTTCCAGCAATACTCGAAGCTGGTGGTGGTTGTTTGTAGCCTCAGTGGAACTGGTGTCTTTTATTTTTTCAAGCGTGTTCCATGACCTTTTATTTCTGGAACGTGGAAGGACACAGCGGTTCGGGAACAAATGTGTGGCATCTTTGAATTAAATTTCAAGTCACGTATTGGCGACAACTTTCAGTCGTTGGACGTGTAAAAGACATTTAGGGTCCCAGGTTTGTACTTACATACAGAAAAGAGCTGCGCTATAGCTCAAGGGGCTAGTCGCTGGCTTCCCACCGCGGCGGCCCGGGTTCGATCCCGTCTCTGGTCAAGTGGGATTTGTGGTGGACAAAGTGGCGCTGGGGCAGGTTTCCTTCGAGTACTTCGTTTCCCCCTGCCAATCTTCATTCCACCAACTGCTCCACAATCACCCTCACCTATCATCTGGGGCTGGTACAATAGGCCAGAAGTGGCTGCAATACAAGGGACTTAGTCCCACCCCACTAGCATTACATGCAGAAAGATGGAGACAGGATGGAAATATAGTATTAATAAAATTACGATTATTTTTATCTAATTCACGAATCGATTATCGATATAATATGGAAACATCTTACAGACTTCGCACATAAACATATTATGTATAGGTTATCGGTATGTTTACTGAGATTTGTCTTTTTGTAGATATTCAGAGTCACAGGCTTCTAACTCACAGAGTCCTTCATGAGAAGCTTATAGTCGCTAAACTGGTCAAGCAAATCTCCGACTTTTATAAAACCGGAATATCCTCCTATTCTAAATCACATGGATAAGGCTCACACCATATCACCCCTGTTCATTACGATTTATTTTAACATTATTGTAACAACTCCTATGTCTAAAAGCCGGTATAGCGACAGACTAGAGGCTGGACGGTCGAGGTTCGATTCCCGACAGGAGCAAAAATTTTCCTTTGCTTCACAGCGTTCAGACCAGCTCTGGGGCACACCCAGCCTCCACATCCAATTGGCACCTGGCGCTTTATCTCCCGGGGGTAAAGCTGCAGGGACGTGGAGCTGACCGCTCACCTCCATCTAATGCCGAAGTCAAGAATGATGGAGTTACACCTTCACCCCTTTATGCGTCTTAATGGTTTGGTGCTTGGCCAACTTTCCTTACCTTTGCTCCTAGGTGTTTCCGGTATTGTTTCCTTCAGGTTTTTCAGTCAAAATTTCGTAGGCATTTCTCGTCTATTTCATGTCTGTTACATACCCCAACTTTCCCATCCCTCATTTGATCATGCGAATGTTTGGTGGAGAGTACAAATTATGAAGTTCCTCATTGTGTAATTTTCTCCAGCCTCTTGTTACTTGCGACCTCCTCTGTGGTCTAGTGGTGGGAGTTCCTGGTTACAGATCCTGAGGTCTCGGGTTCGATTCCCGGCGTTACCAGATTTTCTGAGAAGTAGTGTGTCTCGAATGGGGATAACTCAGCCTCGTGAGGATAATTGAGAAGCCATTTCAAGAAAACAGCGGCTCCGGTTTAGAAAACCGAAATTAACGGCTGTGGGGATTCGTTGCGCTGACCACGCGATATCCTCTATCCGCTAAATTTGGCACTAAACTCACCGACAAGCGGCGGCCGCTCGGTCGGTATAGTTCGCCTGCGGACTCAAGCCACTTCGTTTGTTTTTCTTGTACGTGTACTTGCTCGTAGGAGTATTGTAAGTATACTGAAAACATTTTTGATTCCTGAAGTAATCTGATTGTAGCTTTTGTTGAAATAGCTTTATTTATGTTATGAAACATTGTCAGCTCGTCCGAACTTTGTGATGTCTGGGATGTATTCCTGTATATTGTAATGATTTTAATTTTCTTTAAAGCCTTTTGCACAGACAGTGCCCGTTTGTGTGTTGGCTTATAGCCAGATATCGAGACGCCAAACTGGCGGCGTAAAGTGAATACGAATCTCCCAATTACTCCGGCCCAAATGTATTTCAGGTTTCATTTTCTTGGCGATACTTGAATGCAACAAATAGAAAAGCAGTGCGTGCTTGTGCTTCCGTTCTTTTTAAATCCAATCTATTAACAAAGGACTAAGTACCTTTTATTTTTATTCTGGCACATGTTTATTTTTCCTCCTTCCGGCAATACGAGAGACTTGCGTTTATCCCCCCTTCCATTCTCTTTGAAGCATCTTCCTTCCTCACAGACGACAAGGTGTTCCCCTTGTTCGCGGCGGTCTTCTCCGGAGAATGTTAGCAGGAACTGGAGGAGTTGCATTTGGTGACATTCCTCTGTTTATTTTAGGAGCTCGTTCTGACTGACAGCTCAAGACAAACCCTTCAAACGTTCTTCCCTCATAAGCGTTTTTATATTGGTTTTATTCTATTTTAAACTCCTGCATTCATCGTGAGGTTCAGATGCTCTCCACGTCTGCAACAGCCCAGGCACGAAATGCTGAGACTTTACACCCGAGTCAAGGGATACAGAGTGTGATAGTGAGACTGCAAGTTCTGAGGGCTGTAACCAGGGGCACGGCGTAGCGTAGTTAGTTGAGGCGCTATACTACAAGCCGGAAGGTCGCGGATTCAAATACCGATGAGATCATTGGATTTTTCAATTTACCTAATCCTGAAAGCAGCACTATGGCCCTGGGGTTGAATCAGCCTCTACCAGAAATGAGTACCAGGAATCCTCCTGGGGGTCAAAGGGCAGCTGGCGGGTAAGGCTGACTATCTCACCGCAATCTGTGAGCCGACTGTCTAGAAAATGTAGTAGCCACGACGTCTCACAACCCTATGGGACTCCTCGGCCTGTTACAGGAAAAGTTTTACCTTTCTTTTTTCTACCTGAGGATGTTAACTACATAAATCACTGCCTTCTGTGACTTGATGCCGTGTAGTCTGACGGATCTTATATAAGAAAGCCCTGCATCTAAGTAGGAACAACCAGCAACAGAGTAGTTTGACTTTATATGAGATTTAACATTCCCACGGACGTGATTGTGAACATTGCTATCTTCTTGGATCTGACGCCGTGTAGTCTAGTAGATCTTTACCGAAGATCTACAAGACTACACTGCGCCGCATTCCAGAAGACAGTAATTGTAAGTGAATTTCTTAGTGTTCATGACAGTTTGGAAGTAAACCCATTGTAAGAAGTGTAGACTACCATCCAAACTTTTGCCTGAAGAGGAATTTGCATGCTAAAACTCGGAAAATGACCTTGGGGACATAAACATGAATGAATCATCGTCTGATCGGCACGGCTGGAGAATGAATGATGGCCTGATAAGCATGTCTGGTGCTGTGCCTAACGTTTGTCAGTCGCCAGCTGTTAAGCGTTTGCTGTTTCCTCTGTATTACTTCATATCAACGGAAGAAATGGCTGAATAAGCTATGTATAGGAATCTACTAAATTGCTTACGATGCGGTAAAGAAGTACTTGAGGTTACTGATACTGAGTAATCCGGTCACTCCACATACCCTGCAGCAGTGTTCCTCTATCGCCGGTTTGCGGAAAATTTTTACCCGTCCGAAAAAAGTAACCAAAGAAAATAAACCGAATAGACTCTTCGAACTCAAACAGATTGAAATGAAATGCCAAAGTAGTTCTTTTAAAAAAAAATGTGTTATTTTTTCAGTTGAAAAAACACTTTTGAACCAGCCGTATTTAGTTTCCTTTCGAATTTAATATACACGATGAGCATAATATAACTTCACACTGAAAATAATACAGAAAATAATGCAAGGTACAATTTCTCCTAGGAAATCTTGTACCAGCCATAAAGGGAGACTTGGCTGAGCGGTTGAACGCCGAAATATGTGAAATGCACATTGAACATTTATCATGGAGTCTGGGTTGGCTAAATACAGTACAGACCTATTCTTCTGCTGTGAGTAGCCGATTTTTCTCGAAACTAGTGTAATCTAGCGGGAGTGCGCAACAGCAATAACCCGGGCATTTTGAAACAAAACTTCGAGAGAACCTCTATCGATTGATGTAGCTGTGAATTCCCTAGTTCGCTGCATTTCTTAATAAGATGGGATGTTATGGATTGGATTGATCTGGCTCAGGAT